TCGTCCTTATAGAGCCTCATCATTTAATCATTACCTCGTCACTTCATATCGCTCTTCATCAACAGTAAGTACAATAGGCTACCGCCATATGACAATCCAAGAATTGAAAAATTGAGTCGTGCAGTCCTTCAACAAGTTTATTATTTATATGATGTTATTACGTTACATTACCTCGAGACGATCAACGTCCATCGTCGATCTTCAAATGCTTATACCTGTATATAAATTAGACGCACAAGGGGGGGGGGGGGGGGGGGGGTGTCGGTGGCCGAATGCATGGTCTAGCGCACTCCAGCCTGGAGCACGTGGAGCGAAAGCTCGCGCTGCAGAACCAACACCGCCCCTGCCCGTTTCGATCTGGAAGAGCATCGTACCGGCGTGCGGTGGTGTATCACTACTGCGTGGTGCAGGTTAAAGACCCCAGGTTTGCGGTTGTACCGCACTGGCTAAATTGCTCATCTACAGCTGAGACACCAGACGCCCACTAAGGCAGACTAACTTCCGGCTGTATAAACATACACACAACAATTTGCAATTAGACGCATAATAACAAAGAACACAGCGTCACGCTTCTTTTCTTTGGACGCTTTTTTTTTTTTTTTAACCAGCGCAAGCTCGCGCGTTCTCTCTTTTGAGACGGTTAGAACGGTCGCACATAAAACCCGCGTTTCTCCTACCCGGCCGCTTCCTCCTCTCATTATGTATAGTTGGTTATAATTAAATAAGCTATAATAATGGTGTATTATTCATATTTACTTTCAGTTTCAGTCAGGAAAAAGGAGTTTCGCGGGAACTAGAGCCAATAAATGAGCTGCGCTTAAAGTATCGGCACTCTCTTTCCCGACAGTGTTGTTAACGCCGCCATTCTGGTGCTTGTCCAGAGCAGGCGCAACTGCCGATCGTCATGATTCACAAGTGCGGCATCCTCAGCATTAGATTCAGTGTTAGGAAGCTCATGTAATGTTGCTTTGCTTTGTCGCAAACTGTTTAAAGTGGAGGACGGAAAAGCGTTTCTTGTGATTTCAGATAAAGCTTCAAATAACTGCAACCATGATTTTAAGCCACAATATGGCCAAGTGTCGCTACTCTAAAGCGTAGCTTATTTAATGACTCTATTCATGCTCTTGTTCAAGAGGCTTGTAATACCTGTAGGGGCCATGAGGTATAAGCCCCGTGGATTCCACAAGCCACTACCTTTTGACGCCTGACTCTTCCTCATTGTTCCCACTTGTGCCAGTAAATTAGCTACGGTTCAGAGTAACGACACTTGGCCATATTGTGGCTTAAAATCATGGTTGCCAGTTATCTAAGCTTTATCTAAAATCACAGGAAATGCTTTTCCGTCCCCTACAAATGTTTAAACAACCCGCGACAGAGCATTGCAATAGTACATCAGCTTCCTAGCACCGCATCTAATGCTGAGGAAGTCGTACTTTTGGATCATGACGATCGGCAGTTGCGTTTGCTCTGAACAAGACCCGAAATGGCGGCGCCCAAAACAATCTTGGGGAACGGAGTGCCGATACTTTAAAGCTCATTTATTGACTCTAGGCATGAAGTGAACTCGGGTGCATTCCTTTCCTCTTCGTCTTTATTGTTTATTGATTTCAACCATATCGAATAATGAACACATTATATCACTCTACGCTTATGTAATTATTTGTCTTAGATTTATTAACCTGACCCAGTACTTAAACCATTCATTTATCGATAGTAAATCTTTCAATATATTTTTTAAATGTGAAGGCAAAAAGACACGGAGATTCAGTCAGTCAGTCAGTAAAACGTTTATTATTTGGCCAAAAAAAAGAAAGAGAAAGGATAGAATGCAGCGGTGGCCGGACGCCTGGCTGCTAGGCCGTGAGGGAAGTCAGATATGCGCTTGCAGTCCCGCCTCGAACACGAAGTCGAGGAGGGTCCGCAGCACACGCTTACGTGCACCCTCTGTTCCTGGAGGGTGCGTCCAGCTTTCGAGCTGGATGATTTCGAGTGGCCGGTGGCGGGATCGTATTGCTGCCAGGTCCGGGCAGGACCAGGCAAGGTGGGCGAAGGTAGCCCGGGCTCCGAGTTTGCAGCGCTGGCACAAGCTCGAGGACTTGTTTTGGCTCCATGTTGCTATTCGTGCTGGATCGACCGTTGTGTCCGTTCTGATGCGCAGAAGGAGGACTCTTGCTCGACGACCCAACCCCGACGGAAGAGGGTCCGGGTCCTCGGGCAGAAGTTCCTCGAGCCGAATGCGACATTCGTTTCTGATGAGAGTGCGCCGCTCGTTCGGGTCCAGTTCCGCGTGATCGTTGAGGGCTGTGGACTGGCGGTTGTAGGTTCGGAGACAAGAAGCGCGATCACGCTGCGTCGCGTATCCGTGTTCTGATTGATGTGAGGGACTCGTCTCCTCGCCCGAGAGGAAGAGTGCGGCACGGGCGATTCGATGAGCCTCTTCATTTCCAGGAATCCCGGCGTGGCCAGGTACCCATTCGATCTTGATGTGAACTCCCTGGCCTCGAAGTTGCGAAGCGAGGTTTTTAATTTTTCGCACTAGCTTTGAAGGGCTGGCTCTAGCCTTGCATTCTTTGATTGCTTCCTGTGAATTTGAAAAGATGCGAAGGTTCGCAGGGAGGGCGGATGTGGAGGAGGACATAGCTTCCTGGGCTGATGCTAAAGCCAGGCAAATGGCGTGGAGTTCTCCCTGTTTGGTCGAGGAGGAGGGAGGGATGACATCGTGGTATGCAGCCTTGCTCATGGGGAAGAACGCCGCAATTGTCTTCCTTGGTTGTGGACCTTCGAGACAGGCGACGTCAGTGTATACGGCAGCGAAAAAGGCGGGGTCCCAGCTGTTGACCGTTTTTATGTGTGCGCGACCTCGACGGGCGAGCTGTTCAGCATCACCCTTTCGGGGCAGTGGGCGGGTGGTGGTTATGTCAGCCAGATCTTCCCATGGAGGGAGTGTGGCTGGATAGCGCGGAAGTTTGGTGGTCGTCTTGTCCAAAAGGGACAAAATGCCTCGGCCTGAAGGGGTGAGCTGTAGTCGCTTTTCGTGAGCGCTCATTCTCGTCTCGACGACATCCCGAAGGTCGTTTATTCCAGATGTTACTCTCAGAGTGCTGAGGGGTGTGAAGCGTGGAAGTCCGGTGATTACGCGCCGAGCACGGTTGTTGAGAGTTTCTAATTTGGTCCAATGTGCCTTAGAGAGCCAAAAATGACGTGCTCCATAACAAACTCGCGACACCACGAGTGCTTTGTACAGTCGTTTGGCGACGGTATCGGAAGCGCCCCCTCAAGAGCTGCAAATTCGGCGGATGACGTTGAGTGCCTTGTTACAAGTTTCTATTGTCTCTTCAAGCCAGGAATCGGCAGCAGCGTCCTCTCGAATTGCTATGCCGAGCACTCGCACACAAGGGGAGGGGCTAATGCGTCGTCCGGCCAAGACGAGATGAAGTCGCTCCGCTACTTGAGCATCACGATACTTTTTGGACGCGACACAGACGTAAGTGGTCTTCTCGGGGGAGGCACGAAGTCCCACCCGGAAAAGATGTGCCTCGACGACGTCCAGTGCATGTTGTAGTACATTTTCCTGTTTTTCTAAGCTGCAGGTGTGAGAAGCCCAGATCGTCAGGTCGTCGGCATATAGGGTGAAGCCGATATCGGTAATCTCGGCTAAGGCGTGCGGCAGGGCAGCCATCACGATATTAAAATGTGTCGGGGATAGAACGGAGCCTTGAGGCACTCCCAGCCGATTCGGTTTGGGCTGGGTTTTTTCTGCTTCTCGGCCAGTGGCTACTGAAAACGTGCGGTTGGCCAAAAAGCTACGAATAAAATTGAGTGCTCGGCCAGAGATGCCAAGACTGACCGCATGCAGCTGTCATGATGGAGGAGTGCGGGACGGAGTCGAAAGCTCGACTGACATCTACGGCGACGAAGGTGCAGGCGTGATTCTGCCGTCGACCTTTGGTGCGGATGATATGGTGGGAAATGAGAGCCAGACTGTCCTGCGCACCTAGGCCGGTCCGAAAGCCGGTCTGTGCAGGGTGAAATGCGTTGCTGTTTTCGAGGTACCAATCTAGTCTGGCGAGAACCATTCGCTCCATGGTCTTGCACACGCAGAAAGTGAGCGAGATTGGGCGGAAGTTTTTAATGGTGTTGCTTGCCTTGTTCCCCTTGGGGATGGGCACGACGATCGAGTGCTTCCATGCTTGGGGGAGCTCTCCAGATACCCAGATTGCGTTAATCCAGTCAAGGAGCTGCAAGCGGGTCTCGTCAGGGAGGTTCCGAAGCGTGGCAGGGGTGACGTTGTCCGGCCCGGGTGCGGATCGCGACTTGCTTTTGTGAATCGCCCAATTTAATTCCCCAAGGGAAAACGGCCGGTCCATACAGTGGTTGGGCACAACGATTTCGGGGCAGTAGACGGGGTCTTTTAATACGGGCTGAGTGGCTGGCTGTGAGAAGAACGCGTCTCCGGCCAAATTCGCAAGTTCAGGTCCCGTCAGGCCCAGCTGGAGGGCGAGAGTTTGGGATGCCGTCTTGCTTTTCTTTTTGCCCATGAGAGCTCGACTTGTGGCCCAAAGCTGCCTAATTGACGTTCTCTCGGATAGCGACGAACTGTAATCGAGCCATCGGGTCGTTTCAAGGCGTTTCGCGTATTCCTTGGCCACGACGGTGGCTCTGGTGACGGCTTGTCGAGCCGCAGGGGTTTTTCGGCCTCTGCGATAACGTTGAAGTAGTTGAAGGCGTTTTGCCCAGAGGCAGGCCAGGTGAAGATCGGGTGTGGGAGCGTCCTCGTCCGTGTAGACGGAAATAGTGGCAGTTTTTAGTGCGTTCTGGATTGAGGATGTAAAGTCGATTTCTTCAGAGTTTGATCTGTTGACCAGCTCTTGGCGAAATTGATCCCAGTGAGTAATGTGAACCTTGCGTTTGGCACCGAGTGTGTGGCAGGGCTTTCGGGTGGGGGAAAATTGTATTTCGATTGGAAAGTGGTCGCTGCCCCGGGTATCGGGAAGACATTTTCAGACGTGATGTTGGTAGAAGACGTTGGAGGTCCACGTAAGATCGGGAGAAGTGTCCCCCTGGCCTACGCAGGCTGCCATGCGGGTCTTAGTCCCGGCCACGTTCATGAGATGGAGATTACACATCGTCATTCTTTCCATTAGCTGCTCCGCCTCTTTTGTTTGTCGTGTATATCCCCAGGCTGGATGATGCAGGTTGAAATCGCCTCCATACAACTTCTGTTCTTGGGGGTAGGTTTGATGAATGTAAGAGATCCAATCGTGATCGATTGTCCGATTTGCCCCAGGACGAAGATATGCCGAGACGAAGATCACGTTATTGTTCTTAATGGTCGTGGCACGAACCGCGACTATTTCTTGACTGTCGTTGCAGTGTTGGGCGAGATCAATTTGATGTTGCGGCCAGTCGGTACGAACGTACACTAGCGCGTAGCCTGGTTTCACGCAAAGGGTAGAACGAGGGCCACTTTGATGTTTTGGGATAGAGGGGCACGCATAGGAGGTAAAGCCTCTAATTTTAATGGCAACAGAATTGGCTTCTTGCATTAGAAGTACGTCAGGGCGTTGATCAGGACGTTCGAGGAATCGGGTGCGGAGCTCCGCCGCTCGTTGACCGAGTCCGCGGCAATTCCATTGAAGGATCCTGATCATTTGGCGACGAGCTGGGGGAGGTTAATGACGGACCGGATTTGGTTGAAAAAACTTTGGTGTTGCTGCTGTTGCTGTTGCTGCTGTTGTAACCGTTTGTAAAACTCTTGCTCGGCAAGGAGGGCCGCGTCCACACGAGCGTTCAGAGCTGTCGAAACTCTTTCGATTTCGTCTTTCAGAGCCCTGAACATATTGCGGATTTCTTGCATGTCGGTGACTCTTGAATCCCAAGGTAATTTAGGATTTGTTTGGTCGAGATGAGGCTGGGTTGCCCACGTGTTGTGTGCTGCAATGGCTCTTTCCAGGCTCTGCGAAGAGGGGAGCTGCGGGTATTCAAAAAGAGATGTAGGTGGGGGCCGTTTATCCTGTTGCAGCAGCTGTTGATGTTGTTTGTGCTGTTCCTTATACCTTTGTACTTCTTCGCGCATTTTTTTGTTGGTTTGTAGCCAGGTAGGGCATAGACGGTCTGTGCCCAGGTGGCCCGTCTTTTTGCACCCCTGGCAATAGGGTACTTCAGACGGACAATCAGGGCCTTGGCCAGACGTGGCTGAAGTAGAGTGGGTTGTGCCGCAACGCGGGAAAACGGCTGGGTAAGGACATATGTCCTGCTTGTGTCCGAGGCGGTGACATTTGCCGCAGGTAACCGCTTTTGGCTTGTGTGGGTAAACTCTCATGAAGCGTCGTCTATATAATACGGAGCGCGGGAGCTTCAGGCCGTCGAATGTGAGGACGGCCGTGTTGGATTTCCCTAATCGTCGTGCAGAGACTAGGCGTATTTTGTCACTTTCAAGGTCCGAGTTGAGTATCTCGTCTTTCGGGTCTTCTTCCAGTGGGAAGATGTCGTAAATGACCCCCTTCGTGTATGTGGCGCCGTAGGTCCGGAAGACCTGGGCAGGGACTTGCTGGGTGTTGAGGGAAAAATGAGTAACTTGCTCCACGGCTTCCGCCACGTTCTTGCAGTTCGTACGAAGCGAGATTATGTTCCTCTTCTCGATCAGGTGTAGTGTAAAGTCCTTTGAGATTGGAGTGAGCTGCATTTGGAGCAGATGTAAGACTGGTTTGATAGATGTTTGGGAGTGCGTAAGACGTATTTTGTACTCGAACTCCCAGCGATTGGGCTGCTTTGCTCTCGCCCGCGGGTTGCCCCCGGTGTTGAGGGAGTCAGGGGGAACTAAAGATTCCTTCCGCCTTCTTTTCTTTTTGTACGTAACCATGTGCCAGTCTTCGCCGTTTGTGTCGGGGTCGAGTTGCACCGGCTCTGCGTCATCTGGTGTGGACGTATCTGTGGGGTATGCCTCCATAGAGGTGTCTAGCACTGTTGCCTGGACGAGCGGCACATTTGCTGTCGTTTTGTCGTGCCCGCCAGGGAGGGTGGTCACTCTTTTCTGAGTCTTGCGTTTTTTGTCTAACGATTGTTCGGTCAGACGTTTTGATGGTGTCTCTTTTAGACGGACTTGAATGTAAAATCGTTCTCCAATAGCGGATTGGAGGGCTTGGACTTGCAGATCTCGAGGTAGATCCGCGAGGGCGTTACGCACGAGCTGCGAGGTTTGATTTAGTTGTTCTGTGGAGGGAGGAGAACCGCCTCCAAACTTGATGTTGCCCACCTGAAAGCCCGGCGGGCCAGTGAAGTTTAAGGTGGTGATTTCGGGCTGCTTGCTCGGCAGAGCCGGGGTCGCCTCGGGGGCGACTATGGGGGTGAGGTGAGCCTGGGTGGTCTCCATGTCCTCCGTTGAGGGCACGGAACCCGAAATGTTGTTCGGATGTAGCATTTTGAACGAAGCTGAGCGGAGCGCTGCGAGGACACGTCTTCCTCAGCGAACCATCATCTTCTTCTCTGACACGGAGATTGATGATGATACAGACGCCAACGACGCCCTCGGAAATTTTTTGAACATTAGAAATCAGCAGTTTGTCTGCCATCCGCCAGGTAGCGCAACGAAACACCCAAAGAGTTTTTAATTGTTTTTGAAATTAGCTAACTCTACACCTATTAAGAAACCAAAGCAAGATCATTGTGAAAATGTAATACATCGCAATGTATATCTATTCCAACCAATAAATGTTACTAGATGCCAGTAAATCTGTTTGATGTCCAAAAATGATATGCGTCAAAAACAGGTAAGTTTGAAGGGCTCCTGGAGCGTTATGACTTTGAAAATAAAAAAAGCCATCGTCCACCTCTTGGGCAACCATTGTAGCTCTAAATTTTATGAAAGGTTTTATGATAGCTTAATTATTCCCTCAGCGGCATTTGAAGTACCATGACTCGAAGCACAAATAAGTGCTACGTTTGATATAAAATATCTAAACAAAAAAAGTTTTACACAACATTACATTTTTTTCTGCATATTACCAAGCATAAGCACTACATCTGTAGCTAATTTCATTACCCTAGCGCTTGTCATTAAAAACATATTCGTGCTGTAAAATGTCAATTTAAAGGGGCGACGCAACGATTTTTGTATTTTGCGCAAATACAGCTTAGAACGGATCCCTGACGTTAATGACCTGTGAAATACCCGTTTGTTTTTCACCTCACGCAATCGAAGTCACAGAAAAAAATAAAGAAAAACGAGCAGAGGTCATCCCCTCAACTCGCAGCCAGAACAAGCGGCCACGTGATCTGGAGCCGATTATATGGCGCCAATGTTGATCATAGCCATGCGCCATGGGGTTGGCAAGGCATAGGACACGCGCTGCGTTCCAGACATTGTTATGGTTCGGCTGTTGTCGTCATTGCAGCGATTGGACACAGGACACTACCCGAATGCTTCTCGAGCTGTCGATTATCACGAGCCCAAATTGAGTGCCCACGCAATGCTCGGGTCCAATCTATAAGCCGCATTCAAATATCGTCACTGGGCGGCACTGCTACCGCCGAGCTACGTCATCAGGTTTTGCGAAGGAGAGATTGAATGAAAACGCTCGGTTTTGTCCTCGAAATTACAGCGCAACAAAGGAGTTTCTTGGTCAGTGCCGTTGCGTGCGAGTATCCTTGAGTGTCATTAGTGCCAGTAAGCTCGTTTAAAGTGAAAAACATTCCAATTGAATATCGTTGCACCGCCCCTTTAAGGCAATATTTGGAGGGATGAAAAACACAAAGTAGTGCAAATACCAAAAACGTGTATCGTTACATTCTGCTCCGACATCATCTTAACAAAACTGCTATATTGGATCCGTGTTACCTTTAATGGATCGTTCATAAAACATGAACTAGCGGAGCAAGTGAGGGTCCGTGCCATCATATTCGCAACGCTACAAATGCGCATGAACAGTAAAAACCAACACATACATAATATCAAATGAAAGAGGATTGCATTGCCTTTCAAATGACACCAATCCCACAAAACAGTATTTAAAAGGAGATGAGTAATGACCTGCCAAAAAGTACCTAAACTGCCAGATTCAGTGGGACCGTGGCCTTAATATTGCCAGTCTCGGCATTTATTTTAATATGATGCATGCTCACCAGATAAAGGCAGTTTAGTCATTTCTTGGTCTATAAGCTTTGGCCGAGAATGCGGAAGTCAAGAAAATAGCGCATTTATTAATCCATGCTACACAAAAAATATTTAGTTAGTAACACCAGAACAAAAACGAGGTATTTAAAATTTTGCAATATGTAGGCTGCCGAAAATATAATTAAAAGACATTTGACATTAAAGTGGAGAGGAAATCGTCGCATACCGCGTCATACTCAAAATTCGCTTCCTTAATGCTGGTCTGTAAGAAGGAATAGACAATTATTTTTCTATAACAGAAAGACGAATAATAATTACAGAAGCGATACTGTGTAAGTAACAGATTGCGCCCCAACGGAATTCTCGCTTTAAATAGACCATTCCATTTAGCGCTTTTAGGGCGGAGCCATTTTGTTCGACCGCAGCGCCCTCTCCACACATCCGAGAAGTTCAGCAGGTTAGGCGGGGTAAAGTGGGAAACACATGTACGACGAGACCTTCCGATCCGACGTGCGGACTGCCGGAATGACCTTGGGGGGAGAGGGTGTTCGTAGCATCGGAGAACGTTGAAGACCCTCGCCTCCGACCGTCGTATTGCGCGGTCGGACGTCGGATCGGAAGGTTTCGTCGTACATGTGTTTCGCGCTTAGGGGGCACGCGCCCGACTCCGCTAGCAGACGACAACCCGGAAGGTTGCCGTTCTCCATCTTTGGGCTGTACCGGAGGGCTCTACCGAACATCGAACTCTCGCTCGTGGCTGCCTTTGCGAAGTGGTTCGCGTTCTTAGAATATTTGTGTACTCCAAAATCAGCCTGTAATGCTCTGCTCTTTTATTTCAGTAAATGATCAACTAGCGTATCTTTGTTCCGCTACTGTAATAGCAGTGGAGTCAGCCGGCGGTACTACCCTCAACCACTGCGTCTATTGCGTCAGGAGGGCAGGTTTTTATTTATTATTTCAGACTTCCACTCATTGCCGCTAAAGGCCTACACCAGGGGTGCTATTCTGGTCGCAAACGGGTACCTTTCGAGTTGTGACGTATCGAGAAAGAAGGGGCGGAGCCTCAAACTAGAATGATTCTTGTTTGAGGCTCCACCCCAACGTTCGGGTTCACGCACGCGGTCAGCTAGAATCTGACGATGCCCTACGTTGCGGTGACGTGTCCACCCAGTTGGGGCGAAGAAATCCCTGCATTTCCCTCTGTTCTTTTTGTTATCTTCTTCCTTTCCTCCGGGACTTAGAACGAGCGAATAACGGAGAAAAGGCTACCTTCCGGAAAATGGAAGGAAACAGAGAAAAATAATATTATCCTTTTATAAAATACGAAAGATTATTTCAATAATTATGACGTAAAGTAAATTTAGCTAAGATATCTCAGCCTTTTTTTCTCGAAGTCTTTCGCTACGGTCTTTGAAAACAAACATGGCGAAAACC